CAATAGATTTTCATAAGCAAACAATAAATATATGGGTGAAGAATTCAATAAGGATGAGCCGAACAAAATTTTAATGTATTATGACGTAAACAACCTTTATGGTTGGGCTATGACTCAATCACTACCATTTGAGAGTTTCAAATGGGTTTCAAATGTAGATATGTCAAATCTTTTCAATGTCTCCGATGATAGCGACGTAGGCTATATTTTAAAAGTAGATCTAGAGTATCCACATAAGCTACATAATGATCATAAAAACCTCCCTCTCCGCCCCGAACATACTAAACCACCTGGATCAAAACAGAAAAATTTTTGACAACTCTTTATGATAAAAAACGATACGTTATTCATTATAGAGCGTTAAAACAAGCTCTCAAATATGAACTAAAACTCAAAAAGATATATAGAGCGCTAGAATTCAAACAAAAACTATGGCTGAAACCATAAATTGATTTAAATACGGAAAAAAGAAAGCAAGCTGAAAATTAGTTTGGAAAATTATTTTACAAGCTCATGATTAATGCTGTATATGGAAAAACGATGGAAGACGAAAGAAAAAGAAAAGATGTCAAACTGATCAATCAATGGGGTGGTAGATATGGCGCTGAAGCTCGAATTGCCCAAACAAATTTCCATAGTAGTTCCATCTTTCATGAAAATTTAACTGCTATTCATTAATCCTGGACAACTATCAGTATTAGAAAACCTATATACATCGGTCTATGTGTATTAGATCTATCAAAAACATTAGTCTATGATTTTCATTATGGATACATGAAGCAGCAAATTGGTAAAAAATGTAAATTACTTTATACTGATACTGACAGCCTCATTTATGAAATTCAATATATCGATATGTATGAGATCATGAAAGTAGACATTGATAAATTTGACACATCTGACTATCCTGCTGATAATCAATTTGATATACCTCTAGCTAACAAAAAAATTCTCGGTGTTATGAAGGATGAGTGCAATGCTGCTATTATGCGAGAGTACATTGGGTTACGAAGTAAACTGTACAGTATCGAAATAATAAATAAGAAGCTCTTGAAAAAGGCAAAAGGAATGAAAAAACATACAGTAAAAAATACAATCACTCACTCAGATTATCGAAAATGTTTAAACGAAATGGAAATTATTAAACGTACCAAATGTAATATTCGATATAAATTACATCAAGTAATAACAGACAGAGAGAGAGAGGAAAAGACAGCACTAAGCCCTCATGATGATAAACACTGTATTTTTGAAAAAACACTTTTAACAAAGTAAAAAGTTGCATGAATGCTTTTCTAAAATTATAAAATTAAGTAATTAATTTACTTAAATCAATTTTTAATAGTAATAGTATCAATTACAATTTTTTATTACTTATCTTTGAAGTATATTATTTTTTATCGATCTTATTCAATACCAACAAATTTTTACAAAGTAAAATGTGGTGTTACTTTATTTTAGAAATAACCATTTATATCGAATTTGATTAAATATTGTTTTTAAAGCTTTGAAAGTAGTGAAATCTATCCAAAGGCGGCACGGATGCTATAAAAAATTACTTTCAGATGCTCTACATAACTTATTGAATAGTAAGTTAACTTTAGCATAGCTAATTTTATTCAATTAAATATTCAAATAAATAATCTACTGTTCACAATCATTATAAAAAAGTATAGTCTATATTTATAAAGTTTTGGAAGAAGTGATAGAATGAAAATTAATGTTATAGTGTTATATGTAAATGTTATAATGTTATGTGTAAACTTATGCGTTAAATGCTAGTCACCAATAATTTATACAAATTTTAGATAACTTTCATTCTTGCCGAGCCTCTTGCCTATTTATAATCGATCGAAATATAATACAATATTTTAATAAACAAATGTGTCTCATAAGTCCGGGAATTCCGAAATTAAAAGTGATATTTAAATTGTACGATTGTACGATCTAAACAATGAATTCCGCCTTATTTTCAAGAAAAAAGGATGGAATAAAATTGATGAAATGGCACCAATAATTTTATACAACTTGCAAAACAATATTGAGGATCGAGTTTCTCCGAACCGTTCAATAAAATTTTCATTTACTTATATTCTCTACTTTCTTTATTGCTCCCCATTACACAACAGAAACGCTACAATTATTTAATCCACTTTTTTACGTGTTCATTCTGTAGACCACTAGGCAGATTTTAAGTATTTTTCTTTTACCGTTTACTAAACTAATTTCAATAAACTATAAATTCATTCTTCTGAAGATTCATATTAACAAAATCTAGCTATTATCACTTGCAAACGTGATATTACTAAAGTTCTGTCAGATCATATCCTAGTGCAGTAAAAATAATAAGGTTGTTCTTCTGACGATTCATATATGAAATATCTAGAAAATTGATACTGTTGGCGAAGAGGTCCGGCAAGAATGAAAGTTATCTAAAATTTGTATAAATTATTGGTGACTAGCATTTAACGCATAAGTTTACATATAACACTATAATATTAATTTTCATTCTATCACTTCTTCCAAAACTTTATAAATATGGACCATACTTTTTTATAATGATTGTGAACAGTAGATTATGTATTTGAATATTTAATTGAATAAAATTAGCTATGCTAAAGTTAACTTACTATTCAATAAGTTATGTAGAGCATCTGAAAGTAATTTTTTATAGCATCCGTGCCGCCTTTGGATAGATTTCACTACTTTCAAAGCTTTAAAAACAAATATTTAATCAAATTCGATATAAATGGTTATTTCTGAAATAAAGTAACGCCACATTTTACTTTGTAAAAATTTGTTGGTATTGAATAAGATCGATAAAAAATAATATACTTCAAAGATAAGTAATAAAAAATTGTAATTGATACTATTACTATTAAAAATTGATTTAAGTAAATTAATTACTTAATTTTATAATTTTACAAAAGCCATAACCCATTACGGCCTAGCAGGACGTTTTTCGGTTGCACTTTTGAACCACTGTATTTTTAGTATAATCGGGGTCTCAGAAATATCGGAGTAGTCATTTTCGACGTAAAATTTGATGATCTTTCAGAATCTGACCTTCGATTTTGCAAAAGATGAGTGGTTTAAAAGTTATAAACAAATTTATTAAAAAAAAACATGGTTTGAGAAAAAAAATCGCTTTCATTTCGATTTTCAAAATGGAAATCATTGAAATACTTGCGTCATACGTACAAATATCGCGTTTTCGATCCCTAAACTAATAGTTATGACGATTTAGATCGACTGAAAAACGTTTAAACGCACAAAATGGCGGCCAGGCCCAAAAAAATGAAATAAAAAATTTCGGAATTTTTAACTCGAAAACGAAGAGCTTTAGGGAAAAAAGTTATAGAACAAAAAGCGCTTAGAATATATCAGAAAACTCGTGTGAATTTTTTCAGAATTTTCGGAGGTGATTTTGTAAAATCGGATTTCCCATATTTTCCGAAAATCTAAAAATCTATCAAAAAATTCTGAAAAAATTCACACGTGTTCTCTGATATCTTCTAAGCACTTTTTGTTCTATAAATTTTTTCCCTAAAGGCCTTCGTTTCCGAGTTAAAAATTCTGAAAGTCTTTTTTTTCACGCATCTAATTTACTACGCTGTTTATGCATATTTTCCTTTGTATCGATATTCATATCACTGGAAGTTGTTAAAATTTTACTGTATCAACTTACAAAGTACTTTTCCGATAAACCGAATTTCATCATCATTATTATTAACGTAATATCCTCAAAACAAATAAAATTTTCAAATATTTATTCCCAATATTTTTGAACATAATCTATAACATTTTCATCTTCTTCAAATATTTTTTGAATCTCTTCGTCTTTTTATCTTCTTGATAACTTTTGTACATTTCCTCATAATATGTCGCATTCCATGGCAAAGCGTCGAAAAAAATCTGATTACGTTCAAAGTATAGAAATTGCAGAACATGAAGATGGACATTCAGAAGCACTCATCATCCCTGATGATAACGATTCTGACTATCCATCTTCTGATTCTGAATCTGATGATTTCGATAAAAAACAGAATTCTATACCAAATGTCAGTTATTCTAAAGTACTGGACAGCTACGATGAAAATCAATCTAAATTAGAGCCAGACTACATTTATTCATGGAAAAATGGAGAATATAAGTATAATAATTACCCTGAAAATGAAAATCTGTTACCCGCAAAAACCATAAAGTTCATTCGTGACTCTTCTCTCGTAGAGTTATTTGAACTTTTCTTTTCTTTAGAGTTGAAAAATCACATAATTGATAGTACTCGTGAGAATGGTTATAATTTGACGATGATTGATTTAGATATTTTTGTGGGTATAATCATTACATCTATCTTCAATCAACGAAAGTCCCAAAGAGACTATTGGTCTAACAATTTATTGCTATCGTGTCCTATTATAATTGCAACAATGGCTCGAGACAAATTTCTTACAATCAAGTCGAAAATAAAATTCTCGAAACTAGAAGAACAAAGTTTAGATGACAGGGCTTGGAGGGTCAGAACAATCCTTGAAATTTTCAAAAAAAACGCTCAGAAATTCGGTTATTTTTCTACAGCTTTGTCTGTAGACGAAATGATGGTAAAATTTCATGGGAGAACTGTGTTACTCCAATTTATGAAGGACAAGCCGGCACGTTTTGGAATCAAAATGTGGGGAATTTGTAGTCCTGATGGATATCTATTCGACTGTGACATTTATTGTGGAAAAGGGTCAAATATCTATTCAACTCATAACGACGTAAAATTATGTAAATGTGCCTTGGGAAGCCGAGTCGTTTTAATGATGGTACAAAAGTTACTTTTATCCACTAGCGCAAAAAAAATTACGGAGTATCATTTATACTTCGATAATTTTTTTTGTAATCCCGATCTCATGATACACTTAAAAAAAATAGGTTTGAAAGCTACGGGAACAGTGAGAAGAAATAGGGTGAATATTGAAAATGAAGTGGACAAAAAAGCAGCAAGAGGTACTGTATCAGTAAAACACGAGGAGAAAAGCGGTTTGAATTTTATAACTGTGATGGATTCTAAGCCTGTCAATTATTTTATTATTTTTATAAACGTTGTTAACAGGAATATTATAAATATCAAGATCCGTACGATATTGTTTTCTCAGCCTATTATATTCTCTTATAGCCGACTCATCAGCTTTAACACTAGAAGGATCAAAATTAATTAAATGCAAACCTTCTAATTTGGTAATTCTAGATAAAGCTACGTACGTTTGTCCACAACTAAACATGCTGTTTCCAGCTTCAACAACGGTATTTTCTAAACTTAAACCTTGGCTTATATGAATAGTAATAGCATAACTGAGACAAATCGGAAATTGTTCTCTCGTAATGAATACTTGATCTAATATTTGGAATTGGTATTCTAATCGTTTGATAGAATACTCTTGATTTGATTCAAGTCTAATAGCAATGCTATCTATACCTGTTTTTCCTTTGTTCACTGCAATAACTGTTGCTATAGTTCCATTAACTAATCCGATAGATACATCGATATTTCTCCGTATCATACTCTTGCAACCTATTTTGATTGTGATTACTTGAGGAATTCCACAAGCGTTGTCATCATCTTCGTTTAACATTTTCAAAACACGTTTTTCTAATCTCTTTAGACATTTATAACAATCATTGGCAATTAGCTTTATCTCTTCAGACTCTAGTTTATTCAACATAGTATTATTAAGTATTGAACACATATTTTTAGTTGGCATCAAGCATACTGTGTTGCTAGGCAAATTATTCAAATATTTGCACAATTCATGAAGAGACGGAGTATGGCTGGAAAAAGAAATTTTTCTCTTCAGTAAAGTTTCTATATCCGAATTAGCTAAATAACCCAATCTTAATTTCCCTAAAATTTCTGAGTAAACTTTATCAGTTTTCTGCCTCATATTTATAGTCAATTCCTCATATTCGAACAAAGTCCACAAATTGAATGACAACTTGCCTTTAATATATTTATCTATTTGTGATTTTGCCAGTGGAATGAAAGCAAATTCTTCTCGTACAGGTGGCAATTGAAGTAAATCGCCAAATACTACGATATGTATCTTACCAAACCAACCGTCTTTTTTGTCCGATGTGCAAAAAATTTCTGCCAGACGTAAATGTATATACAAAAGGGTTACGTTTGATATCATAGAAATCTCATCGATGATAACAAAATCTACATCCTTAAAACTTTGACGTATTCTTTTCAACGCATTATCGGATATAGGTTTATATTTTGCCGTGCCTCCTTGCTCTACAGGTAATTGTAATAACCTATGGACTGTCAGGCCTTGAATATTAAATGCTGCAATACCAGTCGGAGCAGCAACAGCGGTATTTTTCTTTCTCTTTAGTTTGTTCCATATTACCAAGTTTTCAATCAGCTAACTTTTACCAGTACCGCCAAATCCACTAACAAACAGTCTTATTACTTTATTGTCAGATAACATTGTAGATGTAATTTTATTAAATATTCTCAACTGATCAACATTTAAATTTTTGATAGATTGATCTACATCAATATCTTTTTTTTCGAAAACCCTTTCAATCTAGTCTTGAACATCTTTTATAACTTGTACTGCATCAAGAGGATCAGCATTTTCCCGATGTTCTGATTTTTGGGATAAGGTTTTAACCAATTCTTGTTGCTCGATTAATTTACTAGCCTCATCCATAGCATTTTGTATCACCTGCAGCTTATCATGATATTTAAGTGCTTCAGATAAATCATCTTTTATTTTGATAAAAGCATTATGATATGTATCTTGGTTCGCCTTAAGTTCCTGAGTATTTCTCCAAGGTTTAAATAATATCAGTATAGAAAAATAATAAGTCTCAGGTTGTGTTTGAGGATTGTATTTCATATGAAGAACCAAGCGAGCTTGTTTTCTTTTTCTGCAATGTAAATTTTCATCCATCTTATAAAATTCAACTTTGCGAATTGGCTTTTTTTTCCATATATCAAAAAATCTTGCGAAATCATATAAACACATGGTTTCTAACTCTTTAGGGCGCTTTGGATAGTATGTATCCACTAAATTATCACAAAAGATGTCCGTTGAATCTTCTGACAATTGTTCAATTGCATCTTTTGGTTTTAATTTTCTTTTTTTCTCTAAACCAACGTCAACCTAAAGAAAAGTAGTATTTGGATCTGTTTCATGAAGCGAATGACTTAATAAAGTATCAGCCGCTTCAATAGCTCCACATTCTCTATGGGTAAGTCCGCGCAGACCTATGGTCCAAAGTCTGCTGCAAAGAGACCTGTTCAATGCTATATCAGAAAGATCAACATTACTTTTTTCACCTTTTGTCCCATAACATGTAACGTAATGTGTCAAAAGATACGTTGATTCACCAATAAATTGAGCATCGGCGTTTCCTTCCCATAAAACTAATATGGCAGGCATATAATCATTTGTATATTGTGCATTAAAAGCTCGAGGCAGATCATAAAGCCTACTATTGTCTTTTAACTTTCTACGATTTGTTATAGCTATTATAACATCACGTAAAATAAATTCTTTTGTTGTCTTCCGTGGAAACAACGAAACGACAAGCGGATATAAAACCAGATCGTGTTTTATTTTTACGCATACAATAGTCATTATGTTTGTGTTGTTGATATTCCATTACTCTACGGTACATATCTGGAGATGTATATTTATTAGGTAAACGACATGTAATGTGTTGCATTATGAATTTTCTTACATCTTCATTCGAAGATTTACCATATACTGGAGCCAGTTATCCAGAATATACAATGAAAATGAGGTAATCCTCGACCTTGATACTCTCGAACATAATAATAGTGTTCAATTTTTCCTATAGGTCTTGCGTCAGAAAGCAAATAAGCCATCATAGCTTTAAACTTTAGTTCGATGAAAATTGCAGCTGGAACAGGATAGTCAACGATGAGTTGACTAACAGATCTGCTATTATTATCCAATGATTGATAATCTTGTATAAATTCACCTAAATCCGGCCAGTTCCATTCTGCCGAACTTAACGTTACGAAAAATGTAACTGGATCATATTCCTGCGCCATACAATTCAATTCTCTTCTAGGTCTTTTCCAGTACGCTTCAGTTCCTCTTAAGCGAGAAAAAATATAATAGAGATTTGATTCCAAAACATTTTCGTCCAATTGTTTCCTGAAATTGCCAGCTGTATATTTATAACGTGTATCGAAAACATGTAACATGTGATAAATTCCTGCATTCAGATTTCTCATATTGCTATCATGTAAATAGTAAAAAAATAACTGTTTGTTTTCTCTAAATTGTAGATATTTAGAGGTCAATATATGTTTAATAAAATCGGAATCTCTTAATCGGATATTTCTCGAAACGCGTTGGCCACATTCACCGTAAGGAAAAACGTCTGGAAAACATTTCAAATCCAACTCATTCTCATTGTAAGCGAAAGGATTTTCATAAACTTTTTTCATTTGATATAATTTTGAATCCGATTCATTAGGTTTTTTAACATGTAAAGTATGTATTGTATATTCATCGTAAAATGCGTCCGATTGTGATTTTGCTGTCAATAAAGATTCTGGCTGAGACAATTTAGTATTTTTAGTTTTATCATTTCCATCGACTTTGTCATCATTATTAATAAACTCTTCTTCAGCATAATCTAAATCTGTATCTTTGAGTTCATTCAGTAAATCCTCTGGATTAATTGGAAGATTTATTTTTGAATAAATTTGATTATTTTCTTTGAGCCATTTCAATGCATTCCAAATTTTTTTTACATCAACGTATTGCTCCCAAATAATTTTACCTTTAGTAGGAGTACTTCTAACCAATATATATAATTCATGAGCCGCGTTTAATGGATCAGTTTCTTTACACAATTTTTGTAATGTTTCATCTAAAGGCAGAGATAAATGAAAAACTTTCCCCACGAGTTTGTCATGACGTGCGTAATGCAGTAGATTTTTTTTCATAACAGTACCTTTTTTCTGAATAACTTGGAATACTTTTGCACACTGGATTAAAATCTTTTCATACATATTCAAAAATTTCAATTCATCTGGAATTGGTTTGAAATAAAGATTATTTAAAAAACACGTTGGAGGTATAATATTCTTTTTAAGCTTCTCAAAGCAAGTTTTGCAAATCTTACCATTGTGGAATATTTCCATTAAATTATTATTTTCATAATATTCTACTAATTGCTGCCAAGCGTTATTTATAATTCTTAATAATTCATAAGCAAGATTTGGTTCATAATCTTTAACATCTTTAATATTTTTTTACGGCATAATCGATCGCAAGAAACACAAGCATTTAAAGGAAGGTCTTCTAGAAATTGGTAATAAATTTTAACACCCTCATGAAATTTCTGTAATATGTCATTCTCATTCAGAGAAATTTCATCGGTATTATGAGATGAAAAAAATAGAGGTAATGAAGCTTTTGATGCAATATCTTCCAATTTCTCCAAATCACCGTTATTCAAAGCGTTATTCACCTCTTCAACATTTCTATAACACTTTTTTAACCCTTTGCAGCTCAGTGGGAATACGTATTCCCACCTTTTTTCATAGCATTTTTTGCAAATTTAGAATAGTTTTTGATGAATTTACCCTGAGTTTTTTGTTGTTTTACGATTATAGAATGATATACAATTGAAATTTACGTCAATTGGTGCCACAACTTTTATTAATTTGTTAATATTGTTAAACAAAGACGAAAAAACAGCCCTATTTATAAACAAAATTCATTATTGAAGAAACTTTCAGTTATAATTTTACAAAAATTTATACAAAAGAGTTTTTGCGATCGCTAATCACGATTCTGAACTAAGAATTTCGAAATTAAAAATGGCGGATCCAAGATGGCGGCAAAAATTTGGTGTATATTTTTTAACTTATTGAAAATTAATATACAAGGGTTTTTGGGATCGCTAATCTCGATTCTGAATCTAGAATTTCGAAATTTAAAATGGTGAATCCAAGATCAGATTGATTTTTTTTTGTATTTTTGTTTTTTTTTTGTTTTTTTTTTCACTTTTATATTTTTATCTTCTCACCTTCAATTTTTTAATTATCTTAGCTTTCTAATTCGTTTCAATCTTTCATGAATGATACTTCAAAAAGCAATTTCTGTCTACTTGTAAACATAATGGTACGTTGCACGTACTACATGACCATTTAGTTCGCACATCTTTTGTTTTTGTACTGCAGTGAGCGCATCTCCTATAATTATCAATGGGTGTTGGCATATGAGCAGATAGAGAGCGTCTTTTTTCAACAGAAATTTGTGGTTTGTGTAGGTTGTCGCTTTCTTCCTTTTTTAGTTGGAATTCTGTGAGAAACCAATCGATCCACTAAAAGTAGTCTGAACTTCTTCAATGTTATAGGATTATCAGCGTTTATTTTTGAAAATATGATGAATGAATTTGTAATAGTCAGATCAATGAAATGCCAGAATAATCTGTGCCACCACTTTTTAAACTTTCGATCTATTTTATATGTAGATAACAAACGATCAGCGTTATCGACAAATCTCATGTATTTGTTGTAATCAGAGCACATGATTGGACAATCTATCTGCACTCGTGTGCCATCTTTCTGTATTCGATTTACTGTTGTCACTTCGGATGTATCATGGTAATTTGACAGGAAACAAACACCTTTCTTATCCATCCATTTTATCCAAGTAATACCAGTATCAGACGTTCGAAAATCGTATTGTCCATGTTTCATTTGTTTGTCAAGCATTACAGATTTAGGTAACCCAGTACGATTGGAACGTACAGTTCCGCAAGCAAATATTTTGTCTTCTTTCAGCGAAATTAATAGATCGACACCAGTGAAGAAATTGTCAAAGTACACATGGTGATTTTTACGAACAAGTTCACGCGTCAAATCTTTGACAACTCGTGCTCCTAACTATTTTTCAGAACTTTCGGTTTTGCCAGTATAAACTTGAAATTCACATACGTAACTGGACTCATCCGCATGAACCCAACATTTATATCCTCGTTTTATTGGTTTTGCTGGCAAGTATTGCTTCAGGCTACTTCGACCTTTGAATTTTATCATGGATTCATCGATAGATTGATATTTGCTTGGTTTCCAGCAAGTTTTGAATGTTTCTTGAAGTCTATCCAGCAATGGTCTCAATTTATACAATTTATCATAATTAGGCTCACCTTTTTTAGGTTCTGTGCTGTTGTCGGATATATGCAAATTACCTAATATGAATCCGAAACGAACAACCGGCATTAGCGAGCTTATATATGAATCCTTCAACTTTGGGTCACTCGACCAATAGTCGCGATAAGAAGGCAGTTTTTTTATTCCCATCAGAATATTAATTCCTAGAAAAATCAGTAACTCTTCTTTTTTAATCAATTGCTTTTCCTGAGTTTTCTCCTGTGTATATTTATTTGTTTGCTGAACTAGTAAATCCATCATGTCGTCAGGAAAAAGACA